CCAGCCCCCGCCTGTAGAGTAATCACTAACTCAGCAGGTTTCTGAGTCAGAGAGAGAAAGGGTATTTGTAGGTAGAAGCATGAAATGGAATTGGTCAGAGTTAGGAAAATTTTTCTCCATAACTTGGGATCCCAATTTATACCAAAGTTATAAAAAAAGAAAACAAGAAAGAAAGAAAAGAAAAAAGGAACTTACTGACAGGCACTGCTACTTGTTCTAAAATCCAAACACAAATAGTTAGTATGAGTTGATAACACTGATAACAGAATTGACATTACAATAATTTTCTTACTGATATCGTTTCCTGACAGGAATTTCTGGAACAAAAGGAAGCAAACTCCAAACCTTTCACAGGACTTACTCTATTTAGTTTCTCTCTTTTAGTAACGGTTTGAAATGTTTGTGAAAAATGTCTTTTTGAAAGGACGGGAAAGAGGTGAAGTTATTTTCCTTTCGTTACCTAGTTTCTCTTAGAAATTGAAATACCACAGAGCTAGAAAAGTCTCATTTACTTTAAATTTTACTTCCATTTTCATTCCACTCCCTTCTCTGGTTGCTTTTCTTTCCTGTTTCCCTATGCCAATCTCAAAAGGTTTCCATCTCACTTTTAATTATTTTTTTAAAATCAGTTTTATTTTCCAATTATCCAAAGGGGAAGAAGCTGATCAAACATGCAAAGATCAATAAACACAAGAAATTCTAGTCCAGTGAGAAGTCAGTACTGTTAGTTGCTGTTAAGTCTGTTCCTACTCCTGACACCACCATGTGTTCCAGAGTAGAACATCTCCATTGGGTTTCCTTAGCTGTAATCTTGAAAGGAACAGATTGCCAGGCCTTCTGGGTAGGTTGAACCACCAACTTTTAGATTAGCGGTGGAATGCAAACTGTTTGTACCACCCAGGGAACCTTCAAAGTGAATGTTACCTTCCTTCTCCTGCCTCCCTCCTCAGGTGGTAGTCTGTGATCTATTATGTCCTTTCCATGTATTCTGGTAAATATGTAAAGTCTTGGCTTATGTTTGTTGTTGTTATGTGCCGTCGAGTTGGCCCCAACTCATAGTGACCCCTCCTTGGGTTTCCAAGGCGGTATCACTACCGAAGTAGGATTGCCCATCCTTCCTTCTGAGGAGGTTTGAACCGCCAGCCTTCTGGTAAGCAGTCAAGTGCCTTATGTTTAGGAAGACATTTTAACTTACTAGGAAAAACAAAACAAACTATCACGTTTGCTTTTCCCATTAATCTTTGTTGTCTATTCTTTGCCCAAAATCATAAATATTCTAGCAGAATTCTGAAAATGGGGAGAGGGTGTAAGAAATCTAAATGTGAACCTTTCCTTTGAAATGTAAACAGGTTTAGGGAAAAGCCCACAGTAAGTGCATTACCGTAGTATCTATGACACACAAAGGGAGTTGCCTAATTAGAACTGCTGGTGTCATTAAAGTGGGGACAGAGAGCGTGGTTCTCACTGAGACTTTTCTGGGTGGACAGTTAGGTCTTGTGGTGTAGAGGAGCTCTGGTGGCATAGTGCCTAAGGCATTTGACTGCTAACCAGAAGGCTGGCAGTTCAAACCTACCAGCCACTCCTCGGAAGGAAGATTGGGCAATCTACTTCTGTAGTGATACTGCCTTGGAAACCCAAAGGGGGTCGCTATGAGTCGGGGCCGACTCCATAGCAGTGTGAATCAGTAAGGTACTCTTAAGTACCCCTGATACCTATATGTACATTTGTAAATGTCAGAACTCTATTTTTATGAGAAGTGGGACATAATAACTACTTTCTCTTATGCTCCTCAATCTCTGGATTTGAAACATGTCAGGAATGTTTTAATTCATATGTAAACTCTGGGAAGGCCAGGCCTTTGCCTGTTTTGTACCCTGCACTACTCCCAGTGCTTAATACTATATCCTGTTGCCCTCAAGTCGATTCTGGCTCATAGTGACCTTATAGGACAGAGAAAAACTGCCTGTAGGGTTTCCAAGACTGTAATCCTTGTAGAAGCAGACTGCCACATCTCTCTCCTGTGGAACGGCTGGTGGGTTAGAACCACTGACCCTTTTGGTTAGCAGCCGAGTACTTAACCTCTGCGCCACAAGGGCTCCTTGGTACCTGGTCGATCCTCAATAAATATTTTTGAATGAGTAAAATCTGAATGAATTGAACTTTGGCAATTAGATTTTATTTCTCTCATCTTTTACTTTTTTCTTTTTTCACCCAAATAATTTTTAAACTCTAATACTAAAATAAGAAGCTCTGGTGGTATAAGGTGTTTGGCTACTGACTAGGAAGTCAGTGATTCAAACCCACCAGCCGCTCCGCAGAAGGAGTATGGAGCAATCTACTTCCCTAAAGATTTATAGCTTTGGAAACTCAATAGTGGTCACTGTGAGTCAGAATCAACTTGATGGCAGGGAGTTTGGTTTTTTGGTATTACTAAAATACAGCTAAGGAGCTCTGGTGACACAGTGCCTAAGGCATTTGAATGCTAACCAGGAGGCTGGTGGTTCAAACCCACCAGTAACTTCCTTTGGAAGGAAGATTGGGCAATCTATTTCCATAGAGATACCACCTTGGAAACCCAAGGAGGTGTCACCATGAATCGCATCTGACTCCATGGCAGTGAGTTTTGGAAAATACAGCTAACTCCCTCCCTCTGCCCCCAAGGGATACCTATTTACATTTTTAAAAAGCTTTATCTCTAATCCCTGGTCACCGTTAGCTAGCTCATGATTTGATTTGACATCCTGGGTTTTTTACTTTCTAAAATGTTCATCAGTAACTTTAGAGAAAGTTGTTAATATAATGTAATAGATATACAGAATATAGAAGCAAAAGAGATTGAGAAACTTGAATGCTGAGGTTCTTACATATTTGGAAAAGAATATAATCAGTACAGGGAAGCAGCCCCCAAATGGATGAATAGATATAGAACTTACTTGGCTCTTCTTGTTTTACTGTGAAAAAGAAATCAGATAGGTGAATTGCAAGTTTCTGGATGAAGAACACAGTGACTTCTCAAACTCTTTCTGCTGGGAGTATTAGAAGTAGAACTTTGAGAGACCACTAAACTTTCTATTTAGAATCAGACGAATGTAGTGGGAGAATAAACATCTGCAGATAATTATGCTAAAAACCCCAAACCAAACCCATGCCATCAAGTCTGATTCCAACTTACAGCAACCCCCACTGGGTTTCCAAGGCCGTAAATCTTTATGGAAGTAGATTGCCTTATCTTCCTCTCATGGAGCAACTGGTGGGTTTGAACCACCAATCTTCTGGTTAGCAGCCAAATGCTTTACCCACTATGCCACCAGAGCTCTTTTTAATTTGGGTTTCCTTTGGAAAAGAAAAGATTAAGAATGGAATCATTGGGAGAGGCTGTTTCCTTCTTCTGACTTCTTTCTATTCAGTCAAAATTTCAAAACTTACTGACTCATAAGATTTTATGTCACTTACACTTTATTGTGTTATGGTCCTCTCTTTCCCGACACTTTTTCGGAATGATTGTGTTGATTCACCATGATCATTCCTATGAGACTTGCCAAGTACTGTTCTTTAGGTTAATTTTAGAAAACCTAGGGCTGAGTGATCATACTGCCCACGAATTAACAGAGATGGCAGCACTGCTTGATGTTAGAGTCAGGTAGGTGAACTAGGTTTGAATTCCAGCCTCTGCTACTTATAGTTGTGAGATCATGCACAAGTTACCTAGTTTCACAATTTTCTCCTCTGTAAAATGCGACTAAAATATTTACCTGAGGTAATGTGCATGACAGGAGCTCTGGTAGCATAGTGGCTAAAGCACTTGACTGCTAACCAGAAGGCTGCCGGTTCTAACCCACCAGCCACTCCTCGGAAGGAAGGTTGGGCAATCCTACTTACGCAGTGATACTGCCTCGGAA